TGCTGTTTCTAATTGTGCAATGGTTTGTGATATGCACTCCTGTTAAACCAGTTTTACTTCTGACTTAACAGATTTGAACTGCAGGGTTCAAGAACAGCTTTTGACAAACTGTATTTTCCAACAAGGGTAGTTAGTATGATCACCTGATTTTAGAGGGAGAACAGCTCCTTGTCATACCTGATGTCACTGAACTGAGTGATGAGAGCAGATATTTCCCTCTCCTACAGCAAGGAAATAGACTCCTGCCTCATGAGCACACACCGGATTAAGCAGAGTGATCAAGGGCCATCGTGACATAAACACGTGAATGAAATGACTCAAGGGCCACCTCCAAACCACCAAGTGTAGGACCACCCTCTGTACCAGGTCTGGTAACAGATGAGGCATGGCCACCTCCAGTCACATGGTCAGGAAAGCATGGCTACACCTTCCCCCCCAGACGGCTTGCAGCAGGACCCTGTCTCACCTTAGGGAGGAGTGTTGGACGAGCCACACTGGCAAGCGAATGCTCCTCCACCACCAGAGCAGTCCTCAGTGCATTCCCACTCCCTCCTTCTTTAAGATTGGGTGAAACAGTCTGATATGATGATCTCAAACACGGTTCACAGGCAGACAGGACCCAGCTGTGTGTCACCCTTTATCTTCAACACAACCAGCATTTCTGTCACAATCCCTTGGACTAGCCAAAAATCAGCATCTGGATGAAAGACAGTTGGCTAGAGCTTAGGCCAAGCAAAACAGTGATGGTGGTGATGGTGGAAAGAAGGGAATGCTTTGGAAATCCTGCAACTTTCCTTTCTGCAGTCTGAGGGTTTCCACAGATTGCTTTTTGTGGGATAAATGGGTAGTCACAGTAGCAGAAAGGCTTTCTTCTGTTCAGCCACCCCATTTTAAACACTGACCTGAGCACTGCGCTCTGCAAGCGTTTGACCTCCGGCTCTCTATTCCAAGTGATAAGTGCTCTGACATTAAGAAGCTTCTATTCATTCTGGATACCTTTGATTAATACCAGCCTCCAAAAGTATGTTATCCTAGCACCCTGTTCAGTATATCTGCTCTGGATGCCTGCCAATCATCAGATCAAACCCAAGGTCTGGGTGTGGACAGATGAACAAATTGTACCAAGGTAAAAGGCTAAGGAGGGCAGTTACCAGGCATCAGCTGCTCTGCTCTTCAGTAACTGTTTCATATGTCCATTCTACCTTGTGGCAAATGGAAGCTAAACTAGGGCAGTTTACTTCTGAATGCAACAACTGCTAAATTATGATTGATCAGCTTCCATTTACCATGGGCTAGGATGAATGTGTGAATCAGTTACCACAGAGCAGCTTGTGTGTGGTAAATCCTCTTTAACTTGGTATAACTTACTTGTTCGTACCTTCCATAATACAGATTCATTAAAAGGGAGGGAGGTTGTTTTGTTTGGTTTTGGGGGGTTAATAGCCCTAAATGTTACTGTTTCAATAATTGGATAAATTAAAATGAAGTAATTACGAAAAAGGTGGAAAAAACCCAGGGAGGAGGGGGGTGGGGGAAGTCACTTAAAGAAAACCACCATTGATTTTGCAAAATCCCAATTTGTATTTGAAATTTCAAACTGTTAGACTTGAACAGCGTTGCTTTCAGTATTGTTTTCTTTAATTAAAGTCCCCATGGAAACGCTCTGCTAATAATTATTCTGATATGCTTCCAGTTATAATCCAAGTGCAAGGCCTTACCACTGCCACAGCAGCTTCTCTTCACACAGCAGCATGCAGCAAGGGAGCAAGAAACAACTCCCAGAAAAAACTTAGCGAGTGTTACAAGAGCAGGCACGAGCACATAGCCACTCCCGGAAGCGTAACTTTGGAAGACAATGTTGTAGAGATTTGTCTTTACCTTGTGTGCATTTGCTCCTCTCATATATGCCATACACTTGTCTTTGTCTGGATGCAAACTCCTTCTATTAACAGCCATAGGCTCTTGAAGCTTAATTTCCTGACCTGGATCTCTGTAAATGCAATTCTTCTTCTTTTTTCTTTTTTTTTTTTTGGAAGGTTACGACAAAATCTCAAAAATGTTTTTAAGCTGCAGGAGAAAAAATAATCATCATCAGGTTTTCTATTTTGAAGAAAAACAATTCTCAATAGGTAGTCTCCAGGAGAGACCCTCAAGAATGTCTGAAGCCAGGCAAGTACCTGTATTTTGATTTTAACAAGGCTTCACAATGAGTAAGAGGAGACTTTGGAACAAACTACCCAGAAAAGCAGCAAGTTCTCCATCCCTTTATCAAGATGGGATTCCTCATTGGAAGATATGTTTTAAGCCAAACACAAGTTATTTCAGGAGTAACTGGATAAAAAAGCTCTTGAAAAAGCAACAGGAAACTTCAGGTGCTTGGTGGGAGACTTGTGTTAATTATTACATTGAATAAGTGCTTCAAAGCTCAGATTCATTGCTTCTCTAACACAACCAGCAGCCAGGGAAGGGGGAAATGTGCTGCTGCTTGGCCAAGAGGCAAAAACCGCAGCAAAAACAAGAGAGCAGAAATGGCACCACCTGCCATAGGATGCTGCCATGCTTTCAGTAGGCTGCAGAAAAGCACAGATTTGTGTGTTTTAAGTGGAGATTTTCTGCTTTTTTCCCCCCACAGAAAAGTAGGATCCCTGTTGATTACTACCCTTTGAGCCCAATGATCCAGCCAGTTTTCTATCCATCTTTAGAATCCTTTCATCCAACCTGTACTTCCTTAGCTTGCTTGCAAGAATGTTGTGGGAGACCATATCAAAAGCCCTGCTAAAGTCAAATCATATCAAAAGCCTTGCTATATCATGCCCACTGCTGTCCCCCCAGCCACAGAGCCAGTCATTTTGTCATAGAAGGCAATCAGGTTGGGCAGGCATGACTCACCCTTGTTGAATCCATGCTAACTGTTCCTAATCACCTTCTTCTGCAAGTGCTTGAGGACTGGTTCCATGATGTTTCCAGGGACTGACATGAGACTGACTAATCTGCAGTTCCCCAGATCCTCCTCCTTCCTTCTCTTCTATAGTTGCCCTTTTCCAATCATCCAGGACCTCTCCCAACCACCATGAGTTTTTAAAGAGAATGGCCAGTGGCTCTGCAATTATATCTGTCAGTTCTGAGCACCCTCAGATGCACTGCATCCAGCCCAATGGACTTGCACACATCCTGCTCTTCTAAATAGTCTCTAACCTGTTCTTTCACTGCTATCGGCTCTTCACCTCTTCTCCAAACTTTGCTGCCAGGTGCAATAGTCTGGGAGTTGACCTTGCCTGTGACAACTGAAGTAAAAAACGCATTGAGCACTTCAGCCTTTTACGCATCATCTGTCACTAAGTTGCCCCCCATTCAGTAAGGGATCCACACTTCCCCAGTCTTCCTCTTGTTGCTGAGGAATTGGTCCTTTCATGTCCCTCCAGCAGTTTAGGAACGGTGATATATTTTCAGAATCTCACCTTTTCACACTTTTTAGCACAAGTTTTTGATAACTTTCTTTTCATTTATAGTCGAGCAATTTTAACTTTCTTGGATAGCAGAACAAAACATGCGGCATCTATCTTGTCTTCTCTAAAACCATTAACAAGTATTTGTGGATTTAAGCTTTGAAACAAATGTTATTCCTGTGAAGCAAAAAGGAACAGGTACAGTGAGAGCAATCTTTAAGACAACCGAGATATTTAGGAAATGGGCACTCACCTTCTTGTTGAAGCTGTGAGCATTGAAGTTGTAGATCAACTCTGTAGGTTCATATAATTTACACATTATCACTAATTTTTACTGCATTGCACTGGACTTCAGCCAGCTGTTCTGACATTTAGCAGAAGGGATTTTGGTGAAATCCTATAGTCTAGTGGTTTCTTTTTTCCCCTCCCTAGATACAAAGATAAGAACATTAGCAGGATATCTATAGCCTTTAGAAATCTCTCTAACCTTCAACAATATTCAGTTACAAATCTACCTGAAGGCAGAATATCGCATTCTCATTTGTTTTCCTTTTCCCTTTTTCAGATAACCACCAAGCAATTCTCTTTGGCTCTATATTCGGAGTTCTAGGCTTTCTAATCTTGGCAGTTCTAATTTTCCTGTTGTACAGAAAAAGGAAGAGGTAAGAGTCATTCTAATAAACTATAAGAAGTGACCTTGAAAGGAATTAAATAGGCTGGTGCCATATTTACTTACAAGAGAAAAAGTCTGGAAAGGACTGTTTCTATGCCTGTCCCTTATGAGAAATATCAGGTCTCATCTATCCAGTTTCTCTTGAAGGACTCTGGATTCCCGACGGAGCATTGGAAGGACGACATCAGAACCAACCAGCACCTGATCAGTGGAAAGGGCAAGGGTATTTAGTCAGAATGTGTGTATATATATTTATTCCATACTTAAAAATGTATAATTTCAAAAATTCAATAATTGATGTGGTAGCTAAACCAAGCTGATAAATTGCAGTGTCACCTAAAAATGCATCACGTGGTTTCATAAGTCATCATGTATCCTTACCCATTGTCTCTCCTTGCTAGCCACAAAGAATTTCTGGACGTGGGGATGGCTGCTTATGAAAAATATTCTTTATTATTTTAAAAGCTATTAAACTCCTTCGTGTTTTCAAACTAATGTAGACAGGATCCCACTGGCTACCTGCCTCTGAAATCCCACATGACCTTTTCCATGATGCAAACCAGTCTCCTCTGTAGATAGGTCTCTCTTGCATAACAGCATTCAAGGGTCCTGTCCACCCAGTGTCCCTCCTTCCCTCTCACTGGGTGGGGATGAAGACCCAGCTGTCTCAGCACTCCCAACATTTTTGCTTAGCCAGGGAAGCTCCTGGGGTGAGACAGAAGGCATGGGATTGCAAAGTGCCATTATTGCAGGTGACTCCATGGTAGCCATCACTGAGCCCTGCATTTAAAACAGTCTCTAAAACATTTTTCTGAGAGACACTTATACCTTGCATGAAGTATCAGTGCTGGTTTAGGATACTTGTAACATGAAATACGTATAGATGTGGCTCGTAACTGCAAAAGGAGGCCAATGAAACTCACGTCCCACTCTGCAGCAGTCTGATCTGTTAACTGCGTAATCTGGCTGCAGAGACACAAATACTTTACTATTTCACAAATACTTTAGAAGAATTTAGAAAGATGTCACTGAGAGCATGCAAGGCCTATGGAACTCTGCGTCTGCCTAGACCTCTGCTCTGTTGGGTTTTGATGGGGGGAGGCAGTATGTTTAGCTAAGAAGCTCTAAACTGGGAAAGATTATTCAATTATCTGGTCCATCCCCAACGTCTCACAAACAACTGTCATCTATAGTATACTCCCCAGTATTTTGGTCAGAATATTTTTAAATGTGTTGAGTGCTGTGTCATACTTTATACATGAGAAAGGAAAAGAAGGCACAGTAACTCGGAAAACCCTGCCAGTGGCCAAATCTCTGATGCTGAGGCAATGAAATGACGCAAAAAGGATCAGATCTCAATGTAAAGTAGGGCCACACAGTTACATGTACATGCCACTACTTGATATGAACATGACAAGAAGCAACTCTTTTAGACATTAATACTGCTAACCTCAAGTGTTTGAAAACCTCGAGTCATGATCTAGGAAATTATGAGGTTAAGAAAAATAATATTTGGGGGTTTTTACTTGCTTTCCTGGTTTTGAACATTTAAGGTATGTATCTGAAAGTTTTTCTCCAGAGGGTTTGCTTTTAACAAAAAGAGACCCCAAAAAACATAAGAGTTGAGAATCTTACTGAACACAAGACCTCAGGAGCTGGGACTTAAAAAAATGTCAGATATCAAAAGATCTGCAATTAAATTGCAAGAGCTGGCTCTCCCACCTGCAAGGCTCTCCACACTGCTCCAGCTCCCAGCCAGACTGTGCCCTGCACCCCTGCATTTCCGGGATGCTCATTATAATTCCCAACAGCTGGCCAGGACCAGCCTTCAAATTCCAGGACTGTTCTGGCTAATATAGGATATACAGTCACCCTAATTAAATGTATTCTCACCAACACATTTTCACATACTGAAAGGTTTGGGGGTTTTTTTCACAAAAAAAGCTAAATATTTTTTAACAGGATCCACTGCTAAGGGCAGAAGTGGTGCCTCCTTGTGGCCACTCTAATCCGGTTCCTTGCACTCTGGTATCCCTAGGTCCCCTCTTCTGCCATGCCTGTGATGTTACTACTGTGCGGTTGCCTACGGGGAACCAGAGGGTGGTCCCAGGCACTCTGTGCTGCCCTTGCCCCTGCTCTGATCCCACCCCTCCGCCCCGTCTTCCAGGGCTCGGACAGCCTGGCCCGCTACTCACCAAGCCTCTACCCTACCTGCCAGCCCTGCAATAAGCCAGGTCTCTCTGTGGGGCATCTTCAGGGCCCTCCTTTCCCCCCCTTCAGCTATTCCCATGGCTTGCAGCCTACGCAGCACATATCAAGTCAAACACATGCAATCAGCTGCAGCTGGGGTGCCTCTCTCCCCTGCAGGCTTCTCCCACTTTGGGCCTTCCTGGGCCTACTCACAGTTCCCTCCCAGGTCTTTGGTCCTGCTCCTGTTCCATGCACAGAAAGCTCCTTCCATTAGTGCAGTCAGGTTCTGTCTCCACTTATCCTCAGTGCTTTACAGAGCTCCCCGCTCCAGCTCTGCGGTGGTCAGATTGCCCTCCCTGCCTCAGGTGCACGGAGGTAGGGGCACCTCAGCAGGCCCTGATCTAAGGACTGAGCTGCCAGCTGTCCATTATCTGGGGCTCTGCCGCTTCCTGCCCCTACTGCCCAGCACTTCTCTCAGCGACAGCGCTTGGCCCACGCACGCAGCAGTCTGCAAATCTCTAAATTCGTACAAGATTCATAGTTTGCTGAAACGGGAAGGAAGTAACGGTTCCTCAATACACTTCTTCTGAATGATCTGATCAGCAGGTAACACACCACCAAGGGAAGGCTGTCTCTCCCAAGAGGAGATATGTTTTGAAACCATCCAGAGTTGGCTGTCCTACAACTGACACAGAGCCAGCCATTTGCATCAGCCTCGACCCCCTTAGCACAGTGCTTCACCATGAGCTTTTGGATGCTCTGTAGCCGTTTCCATCTCTCTCTTTGCTTTTGCAGAGCGAACCGGAGCCCAAATGCCCCCGAATCAGTTCCAGGCGAGAAAGAACTGATGCCCGTCAGAGGGACGCATTTGTGAGCAGCGCAGCCGGGAGTGGGAGGCCACGAGCCGCCGCCGCCTGGAACAGGTGTCCCCGGCCCCCCCCTCCCCCCCCCGCCGCGGCCTGCGCAACCAGGCTGAAGCTGCTTCCCGAGTCCCGGTCCCCGATTCTTTTCACAGCTAGTCTTTAGCCAGTGAAAGGCTGCTAGCAATGACATCGATGTGCCTCACCGGCCGGGCGGGAGACAGCGGCGGAGCAGCGGCCGCGCTGTCCGCGCCCATGGAGCCGCCGGCCCGGACCCGGGCGCTGGCGCTGTCGGAGCTGGCGGCCGCCCTGTGCCTGGAG